AATATGTTTCCAAACCTTTGCAAACGGTCAGCTATGCACCAGCTTCACTGGCTAAAGTGGGTGCTTACGCAGCACCCGCTGTTACACATTATACCTCAGGTCTGGGAGTTTCGAGCGGTGAGTCTATAAAATATGCCAGCGGCGGTGCCATTTCCCATCAACAAGTTTCGACGCCATCAAAGTCACTACTCTTTGCCAGCCAAGCTGCTACACTAACAACTCCAGTCATTAGCGCGCCCAAAGCTTACCTACCACCTGCTCTCGGCATCACGAAATCGACGACTTATCCACTTCCAGGTGTAACATCCATACACTCCAGCACTGGTTATGGTGGTTCTAGTGGTTCTGTTTCGCATCAATATGTCTCCAAGCCTGCTGTTGCAGTTAGCAAAATAACACCCTACTCAGCGCCGGCGGCAATTACGCCTATCATATCTAGCCCTGCGATAGCAAAGGTAGGCGCATATGCCTCGCCGGGCATAGCATCGATCCACTCTGCTGGTGCTGGTGCAGTTGGTTTGGCCAAGTTATCAACAGGCAGCGCGATCTCACATCAATACTCGAGTTCAGCTGGTAAATCAGGTATCAGTGCGTATACGGCCCATACTGCACCTGGTAGTATTGGTTTGGGTAAATACGTATCCAATGAAGCGCTGCTCCATCAACAACCAATTCCTTTAGTAGCGAATTTGGCGCATTCCACTTTGGCCAAATCAAGTTTGAGCTATTCCGCTTCAGCACCGTTAACGACAAGTAAAATACATATTTTTACATATAAATGCATACATGGCTAATATCCCGATTAATTGATGGCCATGACCCAGATTTGATAACCCATTAATTGTCCTTGAAAAAAATAACTAACCTCTTTCTAGTATTTCCTCAAGTTCCTTAATAGTAAATTGCGTACTTCATATTTTTGAGGGGTGAATGAGAAAAGTGCCTAAATCGACTTACGCAAAACAATTGCTATCATGCAAAAAAGACAAAACCCTAATTTAGCGCTTTTTCCATCTATGTACAGTTTTGTAAGATACAGCAATAAAGAAAGAATCACTAAAACTCCATGAACTGATTGTCACACCTTTATTGGCAAGGCCTTAAAAATTAATTTTTAAATAAATGTTGTAATATTAACTGTCGGTTTCCCTAGCAATTTAATTGAAAAATATTTTTTCTCTTCCATCAGTTTTCATATTAATATATTGAAATAAAAAATAATAATTTTCCCATTAAATTGCTTTCGTGAAAACAGCTATTATTGTTCCAACAGCCTTCCACTAATAATGCCGAATTTCACCGCCCGGTGAATTATAACAAATTTATGCAATTTAAAGTTTGCCATAAGGGTACACTCTTAAGACGCTTTTTACTAACGTTGAGATACGTTCATTTTTAATGCCGAGCTTTGTCATTCAAATTGTTGTCGTTTAGTGCCCAGTGGAAATCCGGTATAACGCTTCTGCACTGCAGCGTAGGCATATGTAGTCGCTCAGTTTAAAATACCCTGCAAGAAATTGTGCGACTAACAGGTCTATTCTGCACGTTACCGAAGATTTTGTAACCGGAAAATTGTATTACCAAAAAATGTTACCAGTTCTTGTCACCGTGATTCTAGGTACGTTGGTAATGCAGTTACAATATTCAGCAATTCAGCTATGAAGAATTGTGCAAATCCTGGCATTGCATATCTTACGGGGCAATAATTTGTTACCAGCTTATGAGATGGTAACAAAATTTACCGGTTACAAGAGTACACAAAATGCGAAAAGGGTTTAAAAATTGACAGGAACTTTATTTACCGGTTACAAACTCTTTATTACCAGTGCAGAATAGACCTGTAAATAGCATTTAATGAGAGTTATAGCAGTGGCATATGCTGTGGCAGCTTTTATCCGACAGATCTCGCAAACAAAATTAACTCATTTGTTTCTAATACGGTATTCCAGCTCCTCATTAAAGCAAGACATTTAAGGGCAGTTGATCTAATATTTGCTGTTCCTTTTCGTCCCAACAGCTTCTGCAGCATTCATTGCAGGCGATACCCAGCCTTCTAACATGGCTGTCTGCCGGTCAGTGTCTACTAAAAGTCGCTACTTGTTTCTCAAATTCAGCTTGCTATTGAACTCTTACTGGCTAATTTATCAGCATCCAGTAAAATAGTGCGGCGACTAGAAATCCAAATATAAATCTACTTCGAACTGATTGCAACTTATATTCAAAAGTGTTTTACGTCCCATAATCTAAAGTTCGGCAGTCCAACTCGGCCAGGGTACCATCTCATATGATCGAACGTACCACGCCAGTATGCATCCAGGGTACAACTTTTGAGTTAAGAAGCACATAGATAATCGTGGGATTATATTCCTATCCTCAAAGGTCATAATTTTTTTCTTTTTTTTAGGTTTACTCTAAGGCGGTGGTAGGAGCCGGTATGCCCGCGGACAAGCTTATGCACACCACCGCTCTAAGGCCCATCTGATTGGCTTTGTTCGAGGTCCTTCTTCGCGTCCAAGATTTTCGGATAGCTTCTACAACTAACGTTTCTATGATTAAACCAATTTCTACTGAGCTATAAAGTTGTAATTCAATTTTGCGTCGGTAAGACAATTTTTCTTCGTGCTGTGAGAAATGAAAAGTTCATGAGTATCGGATTGCTTATCATAGGTCTTTTCCACGGTTAAAAATCTGATCAATGGTAGATTTTCCAGATCTGAAGCTACGCTGAAATGACGTAGTAAGAGGATTCATGTAGCGCTTCAGTCTTTTGTACAGAATCGCCGTTAGGACCTTATATGCAATATTTGCAGGGCAATTCTGGCAACTGTCTTTCAACTCACCACAGTCTTTCGTAAGACAATTGTCTATGCTATCAACTATCTTGAAAGCTCTTTTCTCTCTTTCTAAAGACTAATTGAAAGATCTGTTAACGAGGAGGTCTTAACGTAATTCTGGCTTTTGGCAAAAAATTTTCTAAAAATTAAATTGAATAAAAAATTATATTTGTTGCTGTTGGTTAATTTTTCCGACAGGGTTGTAAGACGATTTTTTTTTTAACGAATTTCCGTCATTCCATGTAAAATTTGGTTTGGAGACAAACCGGTTTCGGCGTTGTGCAGTGTAATTTTTCGTTAAAAAATAAATCAAAAATTACATACTTTTCTTTTTAAAACAATAAAAGCTACAAATTTAAAGAAAATTAAATATAAAAAAATTAAATTTAAAAAGAGAAAATTAAATCAAATAAGTTTCTATAACTTAAATTGCACAAAAAATATATTTTTCTTTTAAGAACAATAAAATCTAAAAATTAAAAGAAAAATTATTTCCGAAAAAAAAGTTAACCAAAAACGGAACAAAATAAAATTGGTACCCAAAAATTTTTTAATTGTCAAGTTTTTTTTGGAGACAACCCGGGTTTGGCGTTGGGCCATCTTCAGTGTACTTTTTCGTTCCAAAATAAATCAAAATAATATAAATTTTTATTTTTAAAACAACAAAAAATTTTAAGAAAATTAACTTAAAGATTTTAATTGAAAATAGAAATAGTAAAGCAAATAAATTTCTAAAAATTAAATTACATAAAAAATATTTTCCTTTTAAAACAATAAAATTTAAAGAAAATTAAAGTAAAAAAGTTTAACCCAAAAATGAACAAAAATTAAACTAAATTATTAATAAATATAGTTTTCTCTTTAAAACAATAATATATAAAAATTAAGAGAAAGATAAATTTAAAAAATGCAATTAAATATTACAATTTCGCCACTCGACGTTTCGAACCTCGGATCTCTCGAATGGCACGCCTGTGCTTTGCTCACTCAGCCGCAATCTCCATTAAAATAAGTTTTTAAAAATTGAATGAAATTAAAAAAATATTTTTTTTATTCAACAATTTTTTTTTATTTTTTATCTAAAATGTTATTAAAAAAATAAGAAATGTATTTTAAAAAATTCATAAAATAAGTTTTATACAATGAAATGAAATTAACTAAATAAATACTTTTGTTCTTAAAACAATAAAATCTTACAATTAAAAGAAAATTATATTTAAAAAAAAAAAAAATTATTTAAAAGATAAATTTGCTGCTCGACGCGCCAGTAAAATAATATACATCTGCCGAAAGAGCTTTTTACCATGAAAGTTGCTAGGGAGCTTTCTTTTGTAAGACTTTCGTGCCAGAATAAACAAAATCTTTCAAACTACCCTGCGCACTATCTTTCAAAAGACTTGCAACTATCTTAGCCAGAATTGCCCTGTTAGAACACTTAGAAATTGACGACAATAGCAAAATTCTCCATCTTGTGGATTGAAATTCCAATCCTAGGGCCAAATTGTGCTTAACCGCCGGCTTTGAACAACTCAGCCGGTATTACGTCGGATCCCGGGTCGGGTCCATTTTATTTTTAAGCCGCATAAACGCTTCGCTTCGCTTCGTTCACGTTGCCTTAGTCGAGTCAGCTTCGACTCTACACATTGGTTTGCGATCTTCTTCGAAGGCATGCTTCGTAGTGGAAAATATTTGGCAAAGCAACAACCCATATTTCTACTAACCTGCTTTTCCTTATTGTATTTACATATATGTTTTTTTAAGACGTATGCACAATATTTTCAAATAGTAGAAGTCACTAATTTTCTTCTTGCATTTAACAGCTGGATATTCATCGATTCCTCTCGGACACGGCGGTTCATATTATGGAGCGATAGCTTTGGGACACACTGGCCTATCACCGATTTTAAAACTTGGCGGAGCGGCACAATCCTCCCTACACGGCATTGGTGCGAATTTAAATGTGTCACCCTTAAAATATGGTGCGCCAGCGGGTTTGCCACTGCTAAAGGGTCAAGGAGAATTGTTAAATGGCTATGCGCATGGAATTGGCGGCATTGGGCCATTAGGCGCTGGCCTCTATCGATATGCACCTGCAGTTTCACCGTT